TCCTCACGTTACCTCTGCTCACTGTCCTGCTAACAGCGGTCTTCTTGAGTGCTGCAATCTATCAGACCTGGCGTTGGAAGGCAAGTCTGTGGAAGAGCAGCGTTCTTGCGACACTGGTTCACGGACTAGATCGAAATGCGAGAGAGCGTCTTGAAGACTTGGGAGGCTTGCGGGAACAGCAGAAAGAAGCGAAGGTCGTCACGGTGCAGCTAGATGAAGGAGATGGTGGACTTCTGAAGATGTCCAAATACGACGACATCTAAGCGCAAATTTTCAAATGATGGATTGATACGGGACACGCATGCAAAGATTAACTAATCCGCTCCTTACTATGATAATGCTAATGGTAATGACCGAAAGCGGTGGTTGGGATGGAGCTTGAGCGAGATGCCAAGAGGCTTTGTCACATATATCACCGAAAAGCTTTCGGAAGAGCAGTCTTGTTTGAATCAAAGATAAAAAGTTGCTTGCATTTTTGACCTGTACCTCGTGTACGATGGTCGATACTATTTACATTCAAGAAAAACGCTGTTCAGTTGCCATCCGAATTGATGACTTAGACGTACTCGGCGCACATCACATCGCTACCCAGATCCATGACTTCGGCAATCGTAGCGTTGGGCATGATACCAACCATCCACAAGTTGTGGTTGAGGGTAGTCTCGTTGCCAGAGTCACCGTCATAGTCGAGGATAGAAGCGCTGGGGTATTCCATGCCGTTTTGCTCGAGGTAGCTATCCAGGGGAATGTTGCGACCACCCATATCGGTCAAGCGGGTAGTGAGATTAGCCTGCTGCCACTCCCACCAGAGACGGTCCAAGTTTGTGTGGTGAAGGAAGAAGAGCGGGTCACCGGGGCTACCGACAACATCAAGCATCTGTCGGAACGGCGTTAGTTATCAGTAAACAAATGGATGTGGGCAAGGTCAAGCTTACGGTGCCACCAACAGCAGAGTGGCCAGCGGTATGGGGGTTGACTTGGTAGCACTCGAACGCCGCAGTGTAGTTCTCGGAGGCGAAGCACTCGTCGATGTACTGTTGCTGGCCGGTCTGGAAGCCATTGGAGTTGAAGGAGCGAGTCAGGCAGTCGTTGGCGTAGTTGGAGGTGGAGTTGATGTGAAGCGTCAGGTTGACGAAGGGGCCGTCGGTAACGCAGTCGCCGCCCTCACCACCAAAACCAGTGTCGGGATCAAAGACAACAGACTGGTTCAGGGCATCCATGTCGAGGACCTCGTTCCAGTACGGCTGGCCACCCTCGTAGCCGCACTCAGACTGAAGCAAGTACTCGTGGACACGCATAAAGTAGCGGTGCCAGGGGAGGAAAGATCCCTGCGTTGATTATCTGATTAGATTTCCTTGTTCAATCAAAGCTCATGTTTTGACAAGGCCTTACAGTGTTGTGGATAACGTTGGACTGAACAATGTGGGCCCAGTCGAGCTCGTCCCAGCGGTTGATAGCACCCTCAATGTCGGTCTTGGCGGTGGTGTTCATCAAGCAGAGTTCTGCGTTGATGTACGCCGACTTCTCGGTATCTGTCATGTTGTTCCATGCCTTGCGCTGCGTCTTTGTCGTGCAGGTCGTGTTCCACGAAGCTGCGGCGGCCGCGAGGCCACACGTCGCGAGGACAGTGAATAAAGAGCGGAGAGTAACAGTCATTTTGGCCAAGTTCTAAAGAAGCAAAAGACTAAGAAACGACTGAAAAGGAAAGAGCGAAGTGAGATACTCGAGTTGAAGCCAAGAAGCTGATGGTGGTGAAGAGAGAAACGCCTGAACTCCATGGCGAACAGACACAACTTATAAGATTTTCGCTGACTTAGACCAGGCTACTGCACGATGTTCCTCATTGCCCAAATCGTGATGTTCAACATGGGAGATTACTGCTGCTGCTGCGCAATCGGCCAATGCGCCTCGCTTGGCAAACCGCGTCACCCCGGCTTCATTGGGACGAACCGGCGTTTGTAGCCCACTTCCCGTCCCGTTTCCCCTTTTAAGCGGAGTCAACACCACAGAGACATGTGGGATGAGGCTCCCATGCTTAAAGCTTCCCCTGACTAAGACCCAGAATAGAAACAAAACTCTCCACAGACACACGTAACGTATAGCCTTGGTATATGGGAGAAGGGCTCTTTGGCAGCCATTGGCCTGGGTTGCGGTGAAGGCGATTACGTCTCTTCGGCTCCGACCGGTGACATCGTGGCATGCGCGATACCGTATTCTTCTGTGGGGGATCTCGGCTCCTGAACAGCTCCTGAGCGGCTCCCGAAGAGTTGGTTCAGGTAAACAGCAGGCTATCCAATCCGGTCCCTGTTGTCAATGCACGGCAGTTGGGACAGTGTTGCAAAGTCCACAAGCCGCGTCAGTTGGAACTTGAGTAAGCATGGGGTCTACCAGCAGCAACGATGTCTCTTAACCCCGGATGAGGGCCTTTAGTCTCCTGCCTCCAGCTTAATGCCTCAAAAATCGAGCAATCTGTGAATAAAGAAATTGGTTTGGTGACATCCGGCGAGCGGCTAGCCCGAGGTGGCATTCGCTTCAGCTTGCAGCGCCAAGTCTGTCATTGGTGCCTCCATTCAGGTCCATCTACTGGGATTAGTAGTCAAAATGAACCGGCAGTCTTGGCAAACCACAAAGCTGGAAGCTTAGCTGTGCAGTAGAAGGATGATTCGATGCAGACTTCCAGATCATCTCATCTTTGGGATCTGCGCGCACTGGATACTGGCTGCCAACGCTCTGACACTGAACATGTTCTACGCGTAAGTAGGCAGGCTGTGGAGTTACATTGGCTGCACGGAGGGTCAACCAGCTTACCCCGGGAAACCGAAGAATGGAGCGTTCCAGGCCTGAACTCTTGACGATCAGTGACCCTGGGTTGAAGCCACACAGGCGAACGAAAGTTGCGTGCGGCTGCCATTTGATAAACAACGAGTGCGCTTGGGCATCTTCATTGACAAGAAACCTGATTGCTATTCTTTTTATTTGCTTACTGATGTCGCTGACGGGCGAGCCATTCCCAGACGACGTTGTCAATTAACTTTCGCTTGGTTGCATGTGGCTGAGCAAGTTTTCTTACACGTATGGAGAAGGCATCCCTGTGTATCTCACAACTGCGTAGTCTTGGAATAGCATAGTTACAAGCAGGAATACGTACTCCGTGACACCAGATGGCTGGAATCTACTTATTCTTCCTAGGATACGTTTGTTTATTCACGACATGCTTTCAGACTGGGACCCTGAAGCTGGGTCAAGCCACAACTTTGCCTCCCATCGGCATTTTGTTAGCGGCTCCCACCGCATCCCGAAGCTTCTGGACTTCCGAGCATTCCACCTGTCCGTATTGTTCTTTGCGGCAACTCTAGATGCCGTTCTTTGGCTGAGGTCGTTGAAGCCGCTGCTGCATCCTTGGTGTTTTCGGCAAGTCCGACGGCCACTAAACTAGACTCAGCTCTTCCCCAGGCTTCGACGGCTAAGCCACTTAAATTCAAACCTGGCTTGTATTTTCCTTACTTCATCAAATTTTATGTCTCTTTGCCATGCAAGATGTAGCATGACCAGAATGAGCCATCTTAAGAATCTTCGTGTTGCTGGTTTGCGCGCTGACGTGGGCCGAAGCTTTCTGGAGTCTGTGAGAGCGCCACATCCCTCAAGATGTGCTTCTAGGTGGTAATCAGCTAAAACCCTTCTTTGACTTGCCGATATTCGAAGACAATACTCTGCGGTAGTTACTCGTAGCCCAAGTCAAAAGCTCTTCTGGCTGCAAGGTGTAGGCAGTTCTTAAGATTGAGCATGAACTACAACCTGCCCAGCATACGACCTCTTATCTTGCAGGCTCTCAAAGTTATATTCATTAGCAGCCGGAACTTTCCATCCTAGTTCGGCGACTCTCTTCTAATGGTAGGCTTTGGTCCGGGTATTCAAGTGAATTGACGTCAGTATCATCTTCCTCGCAGAGAACGTTGTCAGTAGTAAAGGGAAAACGGTTGCCTCCAGTGTTCGTATTATGGCGGTCATGGGGTACTGCATGTTCTACTACAAAGACGATCAAAGATGCCCTGAACTCGCCGAAAGCAAAGCATCACCACATGGCCTACAATGACCTACACGGGCGTGGGATTCGGGAGAACAAATTATCGACAGTCCCAAAGAGGACCTCACCAGATCCTGTCCATCGACGATGTTGAGTTTGAGGCCCGGCAGGAGTTAGCTAGCTTGGGTCACGGCCAACATGGCTACTAGCATTAGCAACTCTCTACGACCACAACCAGGCACTTCTCGGCACTTTCGTTCACCAGTCGTATCCGTGCATCTCTGTCTATGACGACATCCACAAATATGCCAAGGCGCCTGACAAGGGGGCACTTTTACTCGAAGGGAATGTGGTGGAGGTGCCCATCCCCGATGAGGTGAATCCATTTGCAAACTACGCTTGTACTGTCGCGGACAACCTCTCAGGCATTGGAGCACCTCTTATGTCTTGTAGCCGGTTCTTGCTCCGGCTTCGACTGCCACATCGTTGATCAAAACTGGAAGGCTTTGTAGTGAATGGGATGCGATTGTAGGTTAGAATTGCGGATAATTCGGTCTATGAAATCAGAGACTGGATCCTGCGGTATGGATTTGTGACGGCGTCGTCGTTGGTTGTGAGGCGAGACCAGTGGGACAGCAATGATTTTAATGCGCAGTGTAAAACGTTTTTTCGCGTGGTCATTTCTTGAAGACTGTGAAGTAATTAGGGTTGATTTGATACAACAATTACGGACACGCTAAAAATGATCGATCCAACACTAGAGCTTGATCAGCGTCCTTTGAAGGACTTTCTTGGAACGCCACTGCTCGTAGCATGTTGGTTGACAGCACGTCCTTCATAGCCAAGAACACAGGGTAATCGGCAATTGTTGTTCTGGGCAACAAAGACATGGTTCTTTTTATGGATAAAAACGAGTCGATCGGCCTGCGCGTCTGCTCCACTTCGGGAGTGGCTGGCTCCGGTGAGTCGTCCATCGTCAAGTGGGAGTGCCAAGCGACATGGACTCTAACGGTATTTCCGCTGAAATTTCCACATCAGCGGGGACTTCAGAGCGGCGGCCGAGACGATCTTCGGGATATCGGACAACCACCGGGGGAAGACCCGTGACACCGGTACAGATCTAGGGCCTGCGGTATATATAGAAATGTCCGCATGCCGCCCGCGGCAAACACATCCGAGCTTCACGTCTCACCGAGCCATCATCTGTAGGCTTAGAGTCGAGAACCATGATGTTTTCCCTATCTCCGTGGAACTACCACTACCTCGATACATCATCCAAAGAGATGAACCTAATTACCCCAGTAGTAGGTAGGCAGTTGACGTACTCAAACGAAGCCTCGCCTTTCTTCAGTACCGATACCTCATGCCACGTCCGGAACTTCCTCTCATTACCGAATGTCTTCGCGTGCTTGATGGCCCCGAGGTAGATCGCGAGATGGGACTTGTGTTTCTTGGCCCACTCCTCCAGGGTTTGCAAGCTCGTGAAGAACCCAGCGCCACATGTTTCTTTCTTCGTACGGCCTGCTTCGTCACGGTTGCCAAGATACCTCAACCCCATCGCTCCGCCATCATTGCGGTTGTCCCATAAATAAGCCAAACCATTCCTCAAAGTTGGCTCCAGGTTATTCTCATAGGATTCGGTCTCTTCAGGGCCACAGTTCTCCCAGAATTGTCCAGATCGGATGTGTACCATGTGGTCATAGTTTGTCCCAACCAGGTGTTTTCCAAGTCCCTGCGGTGCCGTTTCTGGCCTGCTACCATGAGCTGCATCGTCTTGCTCGAAGAGGTCGTGCGCAGATTCAGGAATGCGGTCTCTCGCAGCGCCCCAGTACGCAGTTAACTCATGTTCCGCCGTCTTGGTTCCGGGCAATTTCGCCAACCCAGGGAGGTAATCGAGACCAGAGTAGTTTGTTTCCAGTCGAGAAATCGGTGTCAGGAAACTTTCGGTCCATACCCCGACATTCTTCCGTACATTCTCGGGCAGGCTGGAGTGTATTGAGGGGAGACTGAGTCGCTGCAAGCTGCGCTTGCCTCTCGCTTCATCGTTCCAGTAACAGACCCAAATACTTGCACCCGGCAAGTCATCGCCATCCAGATAGTTGAATTGCTCTTTTGCCAGTGGTGGGTCTTCGTCTTCATCAAGCCAAGCTTGAACAGCTGCGTTGACTTGCTCGATGTCATTGTCGCTGGAGTGCGGCTGTACGCCGATGTAAGCCGTGAAAAGCCGCTCGACACCGGCGGGCAGGACCAGCTGCCAGCGGGGAATCGGAGGTTTGTGATTCTTTGGCTGCCGAAGAGGATATGTTCGCAAGGGACAGGCCATTTTTCTATCTTTCGCGAGTGCCTGAATTTGATTTTGAGTCTCGTTTCGAAGCTTGAGAGGTGTATTATGTGCTTCAATCATCCATGGAAATAGGTCTGAAGGGCGCGGTCAAACGACATGCAGCGGAGCCGGTCAGGGAAGAGCCATTACTAACAGAAAACGCCATTGGTCACAGGACCGGAATCGCGAATCGCATCGGGAGCTACTTTTGGCTCCGAGTCGAAATGGCGAAAAGGCCAATGGTACTACATGCGCCGAAATGCTATCATTGGCAATATACTGTGTATGTACTGTTGAACAAGCCAGCGCAAACATACCACTCTGACATCTCTACCATTGTATTGAATCGTTTGTGCAGGAAAAGATGAATCTTTCAGTCGGCGAGATGTTTGTTCTGGTTCGCTCCTTTGAGTGATTCAGAACATGGCACCAGCCTTGGAATAATCAGCAGACCTACTGATTTATTGAGTGAATGACATTACGACAGTCCTTATGAATCGCAACAGCTTATTTTCGGTCGTTAATTCTGCGAACAAAAGAATTGTCAACTTATTCTCGGAGAGACACTTAAGCCCGGGGCTAGACCGGACCTTCTCATGTTGGGTTTCCAGCATCACAGTAAGACAACACCAGCAACTAAGTGAATCACAACCGAAAGAACCTCTCAGCCTTAGAAATACCATATCAGAATTAAGTATCCGATTTCCACAAAAGGTAAGCAACATGTCTTTTCCAGCCTCTCATACTTACGTCCCGGCCACGGCACCAGCTAAGCGTGGCCCTTCTCTTCGAGTCAACACCTCTTCCTCCGAATATGGCGAGAAAGCGGTCTACCGAAAAACCCTCCGGATTGCCAACCTGTCTCTCTCTGCCGCCATCGAAGAAGTTTCCAAGCAGCCCCTACCGGAATATGACCCTTACTCACATGAGCGAGCGCAATTTTCTAGCTTCGCCTTAGAGCACTCGGGCGATGAGGGTCGAATGGACTACCTCCACTGGAAGATGGTGCACAACTGCCGCCCAGGGAGTATTTGGGCCATGTGCGGTTGTGAAAACCCCATCATCGAACTGGGCGAGGATGAGGAGCCCTTGACAAATGAGGAGTGGAACCGGCGACTGTATGATGACCAGATCCCATTTGGTCTTCAAACGAACCACGTGCCTTCGACAGCGAACATCAACACCGCAATACTGACGGATTACAACGGACCCGACTCACAGTCTGGCTCTTTGCAGTCATTGCAGGAGGCTGATATGGGAACCATTGCACTTGATCAGCAGCATCTGCAACAGGATTGCGATGGGTCGCCAAGTTTGGATCGGTCTGCCCCCTCGGAATCGTTGAGTCCTCTCGATGTGAATCCAGTCGAGCCTTCGCTTCAGATGCCCTTCCCGTCTGAGCTACAAGCATCATCTACAGACCTATCTGGTCAGCCCGCGCCCCAACCCGAGCCCTCACTTCAAGTGCCCTTTCCTTCTGAGCAACAAGCATCTTCTATAGACCAACCTGATCAGCCTGCGCCCCAACTGAATGGGAATGCCGAAGAGTTTGTCCCAAACCTTCGGGGAGGTTATACTCGAACCGATCGCGATGCAGAAGGAGGGCGCTTAGCGTGTTCTAAGAACAAGTTGCAGATGCACTTAGGCCTGTGGGTTTTGATAATTGTCTGCGCGATTGGAGCCCTGGTAATGCTCATTTTCTTGATCATATTCTACACTAACCGGAAGCTTCTTTCTAGCTGATTGTCGGCGCGCAGTTCTACACAGAAGCACTTGGCTATTGGGTAAGTTGGGAGTCAATAAGGTGCACAGCAGTGCATGGAAATAGAGGAGTTTTGATGTGCGGCCGGATACTTCGGGCTAACCGAACAATATGACCTAGTTGCATTGAAAACTCGTTCTGATGTCGGTGTTATGTCCATCCCCGCTGTTGTCGTCTTCACGTTCATTGTTCATACCATGCCGCCGTGGCTTGTGCCGTCGACAGTGTCACCTCAACCACGAGCATCTTCGCATCATCTGCCTTGGGTGGATGCTGGCGTCAGCAAGACTAACCGACGCATCCGGCAGTCTGTTCAACGCAGGCCTCTCGACGCCTAGCCTGGAAGTCATACTGGTGAGCTTACTTTCCAAAGAATCTTAAAGAATCTTCCATTTCCCATCATGTTTCGCCAGACACTAGCACGGCCTTAGATGAACAGCATCTGATCTCAAACAGAAACCGCTGCACATCACCGGCTTCACAAAGTCCACGAATGAGTGACCAGCGGCTGACCCGGAAGCTTGCGGCGGACGTTCGAGAAGTCATACCGTTGACGAAGCCGGTTCTCGAAACACCCACCGACCTCTCATAACTGTGATAAGAAGCCCAAGGTGCACACCACAACACGCCCACTTTGGTATCATGACGTTCATTCATAGTTTGACAACGCATGGATGAGGCTGTCGAGGTTGACCCGAGCAGTCGGTGTGGAGGACCGGATGCGGAATGAGGGGTTGAATGAGAGGACGGACCTCGAACAAGAACAGCCGCCATGAACCTACGACGCATCGTAAATGATTCGTAAATGTCGAACCTGAGTGTGCTATATATCTGAGTGATTAAAAGCGAAAATAGTCACGGAAGTCACATCCTGGTGATTACCATCGCCTACACAAATCTCCTTTCCGTAATGCGGCAAAGCTTCCTGTTATCAGGAAATGGACATACATCACAACGACGACCGAATGGCAGTCGCGGAACAGCATGTCTTGGCAGATTTCGAAAGGGTGTAGGGCCCAAGCTCCCTCAGTGAGAACATGCCAACCCGGTGAGGGGGTTCGCGATTTGCATAATGAAGCCATCAGGTTAGCTTTTCGTCCGATGCCTAATCATTAATCTAAACTGGATACGGATACAACACCAAGCTCCTCTGAATATCTAGAAAAGCTCTCTGTAGCCCAACAGTCTGTAGATGGTATCAGGCAGTATCTCAGTCTATCAGAAAAACTTCTCATAACGTTACTTGATCTCCTACAACAAACATGTTGAAGAACTGCATGCAAGCATTTCTCCTCACCCTCTGGGCCTCACACACTTGTGCCAAAGCTCTGGAGGCTCCCATTCCTGGCTACGGCGTCTTTGTCCCGCGATGGGAGATCACCGGTCCAGACGGTAAGAACCTTGTTCTCCGCGGCACGGTGGAGGAGGTCTCCGGCCAGCTCCGCAGCATCAACCCGGATTGGGATCACAAAGCCGCCACCCGCAATCTTCAAGACCGCGCCGTCTTTGACGACAAGTCGAACACGCTCTGCCACAACTTCCGCGAGGGCAACCGCTCGGCTGCCACCCTGGATATTGACTACCTTCGCTCTGTGCCCGGGAAGCCACTCAATGGAGCCGGCCCAGCGAATTGGTATGCCCTGAACTGTTTCTTCTTCTGAGAAGGGCACCGCTAATCTCTCACAGCGGAAGGGTGAGCTGCCGAAACTCGACCGGAATCTGGTGGTGCAACGACGTAAGTGGACAATTCCACCACTCAAAGCAGATTCTTTGAGAGCACATCTGACATCCCTGAACAACCCAGGTCAACAGCCCCAAAGAGCTCACCTCCTTCGCCGACATTGCAGACGGCGCCAGCCGCGTCTTGAGCGTCTGCACAGACAAGTTGGACGCCAACCAGGGCGAAGCAATGACCGTCAGTGGCCAGGCCTTCCATCCTGACAACTGGAACGTTGTCATTCGCGGTGGAGATGATTGTTCCAACTCTGGCCAGAACATCTCAGCCAGAGGACTGAAGATGTCTCGATTCTTCAAGTTTTTGTGAATATGATCATGGCAGGCCAGGTTAGAAATGGAGAGTATCGTTCAACTATTTCATCGCCGTTGGCCCGGCTGTACCTAGATGAATATCTGCCGTTCAAGAATCCTACATTGAATTTGCCTCGTCATATTGTATGTGGTACCCAGAAAAGTGCAACTCCTTAAGCCATATTGCTTGTCCCGACAAGATTGAGATACACCTGAAACGAACACAATAATACACAGAGACGTTTACTTTGCAGTGACCCGACCCAAGTGATATAGAATAGTAATCATCGCCATAATCCTCGCGAAAAAGGGTTTTGAATACTGGCTTATGGTAACTGAAGCGCCTGTCAAATCCGCCGTGACACAGTACCGCATATGAACCGTAAATCACCTCACCACGGGTGCTCGTATCAGTGGGTTCTTCAAAAGTCGTACGGCTACTCATGATTAGTGTTTGTCGATTCTCTCTCCCTGATTTCTAGCCTCAAACCCATCACGAAAGCTCACCAACAAGTCCCTCCCAGCTCTCATCCTCCAAAGCCAATCCCCCAGATGTAGTCCCATACCCCCTCTCCCTCTCCCTAAGCACCCCCTTCCCCCTCTTCTCCTGCATCTTCCTCTGATCCTCTCGATACCACCTCCAAACCGCAACCCAAAACCCAACAAAAAACAGCATCCTAAATCTCGTCAGCCCATCCATCCATCCGCCAAGATGACCCGTCCAAGAGAGAGAACTCACCACATCGAGACAACCCCAATCACAACCCCCACCAACCCCCTCCCCTTACCGCCAACACCCCCAGCACAAACAACAACACCACAAAAGCTCGCCATAACCAACCCGGCAGCCTGCATCCCCAAATCCGCCAGCCTCGTCCGCGCCTTCACCCCATACAACAACAGCCCCGAAAACGAGACGCTGAAGAGGACCAACAGCCCCGGCGACGCAACCTCGGCCAACCTATGTCACGTCAGCATTCACTCCCTCTCACTTCAACTCATGCTAAACATACCAAACCCACACCTCAAAGTCCTCCCCACACATGCCCATCCACACAACCCACCCCTCGACAAACACCACAGAAACACACTGCATCACCAGCAACGCCGCAAAGGCGACATCTGCCAGACTCAGACCCCACCATTCATTCGCCTCAGCGCCGCCGGAGGAGCGGTCCACCCGCACCCTCCTCAACGCCGCCTCCTCGTCGTAGTCTTGGACCGTGATGATGGGCAGGTACCCCCTCGACCCGTTCCACGCCACCTTCTCCTCCTTTGGCGAGCCGACGCGCGTGAGGATCGCCATCAAGGCGAGCCGTGATACCGTTTCCATGTCTCCCAACCTCTCTGCGTCTGTTGTGTGCCGTGGCGACGTTGTAAAGTCCGGAGCCGTGATCCTGTTTCGTGCAATTTCCCGGATTTCGATTCGAGCAGTAAGCGAAACAGAGATTTTCGACTCGACGTATTTTTCACACTGGCAAGTCGTATTTGAGCGCTGCGATCATGTCAGTGATGGTGAGTTGTGGTGTCGTTTGGTCCACATGACCACCACCACCACCTCCTGGCACCTGAGCACCTCATCCCCGCCCCCTCAGCAGGCCAACCCCAAACTCATCTCTCAGCAGCACACGAGCACGCGCGAGACTCTGCATTAGTCACATATCTCTGTTTTACACGCTACATCATTACTCCAAATCATGATACCGTCCGGAACCCATCATACTCTACAGCCGACAACGCCAAAAATGCCCGTCCATCCGTGCGTCCAAACCATGTCCTCCCAAACGAAAGGAGAAGATGAAGCGTCATAATACTGGCCACGGCGGGAATCGCCTTTACTCCAGGCTCATCCTCGCCTCGTCGCCAATGCCCCATTGCCCGCCGTCCTTACCCTGCAGAGCAAGGTTGAGCTTCAGCCCCAACGCCGCTGCTTCCTCCTCGCTCTTGGCCTCGCTGGCCCTCCGGCTGCGGTCCTGCTCCGTGTCGACCTTGCTCGAGATGCTCTTGTCCGTAACTTTTCTCCTGAGCGAAGGCGTCTTGAAGAACGACCTTCCACCGGAGCTTGTCGATAGCGTCGACGCCGTATCGTCCTTTTCTCTTTCCGCATCCTTGTTATGTATCGTTAGATCCGGTGTTGATTGTGCGGGGGAAACCATCTTCTCCTCGAGAGTGCTGTATCTCTGAGTCGTCAGGGCGGGACCCGGGGGACTACCTATCGGCGAGCCGGGTCGCGGCGGCGCTTGTGCTGCGTCGAGTTCGTGTGCAATCTCGTCCTCGGAGACCTCCACCAGTTCGGCATCGCGGTACCACTTTCTCCGGCGCGTCCATCTGCCCCAGCCGTCTGATCCGCGGCGGCCGTTTTGCCACTGTACCCGTTAGATTTAGCCTTAATTCTTCCTTGGCAAGGAGATGCATACCTTGTTATCGTAGTATATCCAGCCGTTCTTACCGGCTTCCCCGTCATAGTCCACTGGCTCGGTCCCATCGTCGGGCACACCGTCGACCCGCCACTTGCTGCCCTCAACCCACCGCCAGCGCATGTTGCTACCATCCTCAACTTCGGGCAGTTCAAAGGTGTCGCGCGACGGCACAGGGTTGTTGTGCTCGTCAGTCCATGCAGAGCGTTCATAAGCGAACATGCTCTGAGTCCAGCCGAGGCCGACCCACCGTCTTTGGTTCTCGTAAATAATGAATGTAAACTTCACACCCGCGTCCTTGCTTGTGGCGTTATTGCTGTGCCTGTGAGACTGCTGGCGTAAGGCCTTGGTCAGCTCCGACGTCGCCGGGCGCTTCGCCTGCACCTTGCCGGGTTCTCCATTCGCAGACAAGTCCACCGCAATTGCCTTGACAGGCTTCTCAAACGTCAGGCCAGTGACCAGAGCAGCCGTCTTGCGAACCGTCGCACTACGCCACAGAAGCGTTCGTGCGACACGCATGACTCTGGCATGCCATGTCAGAACTAGGGTGCCGAAGAGCAGCGCTATCCTCCTCGTCGTGATGATGCGCAGAGGAGGCAGGGTCAGAATCACCCAGAAGGGCGTGCAGAACAGTATCCTCACGAAGAGCGTAGTTAAAGCCGGTCTGGTGGTGGCCGACGTCGGGGTCCGCTGGGTGCTCAGGAAGTCGGTCAGCTCGAGTAGGGGTTCGAGGAGCACGTTACACCGTCCGGTGAACTCCTTCAAGGTCTCGACGATCTCGTCCAACGTCTTCTGGTGCCTTGTGTTTGTGATCTCCGACTCGTTGCGTTGGTGTCCCTTGGCGGCGTTGCCGGCTGTGTTACTCTTCGGCGCTAGCTTCTGTCCCTTGCCTGCTGCCGAAGGTCCCGCAGCCTGTCCACCGGCGGCGTCCTTGGAGGCCGGTTCTGTCCACCCGCTACTGCTCAGTGGACTGAAGCGGCGGCCGTACATGCCAAGGATCAAGGTAAGGACAACGACGATGGGCCCGGCCATGCGCACGACAATGTCTCCGTACAGCACGACGGCCCAGAAGGAGGCCAGCAGGAGAAAGCTCTCCCACGGGTCGGCGGTGGTCCATGTCAGCAAACCAGCGAGCTTGTTGAGAGGAAGCAAGAAGGGATGCGAGTATGCCAAGGCGCGTGTTATCTGGGGTGGTGTGGCGAGGAGCAGAGGCGACTTTTGATGGACGATGATTGTCGAGCGGCGGGAGGAGCGGCTTGGGGTGTTTGCGGAGAGGGTGACGGGGGAGAAGGTCGCGTAGGTGGGGGGCGCGCCGGAGGGTGTGCCGTCGTAGCCGGAGCTGGCTTGGGAGGGATCGATCGAGTCGGCATCGGGGCCGCGGTGGGCTTTCGGGGTCGACATGTGGACTAGCCAGGGCGTATCCTACGCGAAGCACGGGGAGGTTAGCCGGGCTGTTGGGGGTGGATAGACGATGGATGCGAGATGACAAGCAGCGGCAGCAGCAGACGATGCGGCCGGGCAAGTCAGTGTCGCTGCGGAAAGGCGCACGAGGCGAGGGCCATTTGGGTGCAGGACGAGAGTAGTCGACGTAGTTGGAGAAGAGGGAAGAGGGTGTGGCAGTTGAGGCTATGACGTGGCTGATGCGTTGAGGGAGCCAAAGCGCGCGAGGCCAGGCCGAGGAGCTTTTTGCAGTGTGGTGGTAAAGTGTTTGCCCGAGGAGGGTAAAGGAAGGTGTGATGGTTGGTGGTGACAGCTGTCCGGAGCTCTCTCTGTTTGCTGGAGTGTTCGGCTTTGCTCTGCTCGCACTGCGCAAGGATGCGGCAATGCGACGATGGATGGGACGGAGAGGAGTGGAGGCAAACAACAGGCAGGCAGGCAACTCGTCTGGCTGGATTGGATGCTGATGGACGGGGACGGGGCAGATGGAGAGAAAAGAGCAGGGGAAGGTGGTGGCTCACAAAGGCAGCCATCAATGTCCGGGCTTCCGCTGATCTTCGGGGGGCCCTGCTGCGGGTTGCTGCGGGTGTTGCTCGCTGGCCGGACCTCGTCGGGTTACGGCTCGTCGACGATGACGGGAGGTCGAGATGGCGGACGAGGACGAGAGACGTCAAGTCAAGAGGTCAAGAGGTCGAGGGGCCAAGCCCAGCCGCGGGGGGAATGGAATGCCGTCGTCGCGGGGAACGGAGCAGCGCATGCGCTTTCGTCGGTGTCGGGTCGCGCCGGTGGATCGCAACGTCATCGGTTTCGGTCGCTTCGATTGTAGGTGGACACGGGAATGGGTTGTGTGTCGCACTCGCCCAGCTTCAGCTCGCCAGTGTCCGTGTCTTCGGCATTGGGCAGCGTGTGTCGTCGACTGCTGAGGCTCCCGGGAGGCGTGTTGTTGATGTCGATGCAGAGTTTGGTGTTTTGGTGTTGAAAAGGTAAGAAAGCCGTCCAGAAGGTGCGTATGACAGAGGAAGGAAGAAACGACGGACTATTCGGAGGTGTCCCGCCTGGTGCTGCAGAAATGCGACAACGATGAAGGCAGGCCCGAGGTGCCTTTAGGTAAGGTCAGGTAAGGTAAGGTAGCCCAGGGAAGGTACCTTAACCGCGGATCTGGATGCAGCTCCTCTCCCCTCCCCTCACTCACTGAACACCTTCCCCTGCCACGTGAGACACCCATTGCAGCTTTCCCCTTTAGCGTCTGTTTCCCGCCCTTCCAAGTCCCTTTCCAGCGCAGACAGCACCTGTGACCCGCGAGGCAGTGGAGCTACACGCGCATTCCAACCCCGCCATCACCACTGTTGCCTGCAGGGAGCCCGCCATTCCACTGCATTGGATTGCATTGGATTGGCTTGGTTGGCTTGCATCCCCGGCCTGCTTTATTCCCCGGCAATCACATGCAAATGCGAATGACGGACAGCACCTCTCACAGCTGTGGATGGATGGATCCATAGGTCCACGAAAGCTGGTCCTTGTCACCACACACATCAATAACATGGATCCCAGCTCCAGCCAACAAACATCACACACTCAACAGAAGCAATCAACGGCTGAATAGTACAAATATCTTGTCGACACCTTCTCATCTCTCTGCTAGAGCCTCTGTTCGACGTATGCCTTCTGCTCAAGGCATTGCAATCTTTCGCTAAACCCCAACAAAACTCTGCCATATAAAAACAACAGCTAGTCCTTTTCCCTGTCCATAAACGCCCCATAGGTATCCCGTCTTTGACTGAACGACGCCCACCGCAGTCCCATGCCAGAGACCATTCAAAGCGGCGCCCCCATATGCTCATATAACAAATGAGAATCGTTGCTCAACCCCAACTGCTCCCTTCCTCGCTCTCCGTCTACCCCAAGTGCTCAATCTCCTCGTTCTTCCTCGTCACCCACTGATAAAACTTGAGTGCCTGCATGCCGCTTGATCGAGAACTTCCCGTCAACGAGTTCGTCTCAAACGTGAACCGCTGTTCCAACGACGCGCCGTCTTCGGTCTTGAGCACAAGCCGAACTGCTTCCTTTGTGTGCTGTGCTGCCTTGACCTTTTGTGCATCCACCGTCGCCGCGAAGCCGTCCTTCGCATTGCCTCGCGCAACCCCGCGTGCCTCGTCCTCGATGTGGAAGTGCAGCATATTCTCTCCTCCGCCAACCCACCTCCTGTTGCCCTCCGAGAAAGACGCCACGTCGATCGAGAGACCGCCCAGCTCCTTCTTACCACCCAACACGGGCGATGCCGCCGCACTACGGTCGACAAGAGGAGACCGGATGGATGCCGGTGTGATGCGAGGCGACTCTGATGCCCGTACCGCCCGCCATCGGTCGTCCAGGTTCTTCGTCAAAAGCCTCGGAGTGCTGTTGCCAGACGCAGTCCCGCCGTTCACAACAATGCTGTTCCCATTTACCGCCGTCGGCTGCGGAGTCGTTGGCTTATCGT